GAATAGATCTTAGATTAAAAGCAAAAGAAAGAAAAAGAACTTCTTATGCAAAAAAAATTAATAACTCATAGATACATTTAAATAACCATAAGCATCCCAGATCAAACTAAATCCAAAAAATTATAGGAATTTTTAGAAACGTAGACTTATTAGCCATCATTGGGCACATAGAGATGAACCACATAACACATCATTCAACAGATACAACAAAAAAGCTAAAAAAAGGAACAAGAAGACCAGAGCACATCTTCTCCACCATTCTAAAGATAAGTAAGATTAACACAAGACAAACAAGCAGACAGCAATACCCTATTCAAGTGCTAGCAAGAAGATAATAAATCAAGCAGAGAATAGCCTAATCAAGGAACTATTTAGGAGTAAACTATCAATACCCATCAATACTGGCAGGGCAAGCTATTGCATAAAAGCAAGATCAAATCCTATACCCATCAACACTGATGATATTGTCTATTAAGATAATAAAATATCTGCAACCAAACTCAGAAAGCATAAAAAATTCCACTGTAGTGGTAGATTATTTTTAGCTCAGGATTGAATTGAGGGATTCTTGTCCTCTCAGTTTGTTTTCTTGCAGACGCAAAGTGACATCATTGTTTGTAAGAAGTGAAGCTTTCTCTCATTTATATACTACTTTATAAACTAGTAGAAGGATCAGCTCTTCTCACATGCAAAACTGGGACTGATGTGGAGGGCCAAATTCCACAAGGCCCCATAGCCCCTGCTGTGGCTCCTGCTGCACATGGCAACCCCTGTTCTAATCTGTAGATCTTATTTATATGTCGGTATATGGCCAATTTGTCTGAATGCCAGGCTTCCATTAATTCTGTAGTATTTTTGGACTTGGCTTGGTTTAGGATACTTATAGTTGAAACTATGGTTAAGTCTGTCGATATGTTGTGAAACTAAGAAGTTTTCATCATTTCTTCTAGATGGTGTTCATAGATGTGTTCTGATAGTCTTCTGCCTCTTTGTCCTACAGAATGGCTGTTACAGTCCTTATAGTGTATGTTGTAGAATGATGGCTCCTGTTTTTTCTTTTGAGGCTGATAGGTCTTTTGATTTACTAGAATGTTTTGGTGGGTTTTAGTTGGTTTATGTGCTACAGTGATACCATGTGGTTGTGATTGTCTTTCTGAAACATTTTGATGCAGTGTTATTTATCCTTTTCACCACATGTGTTGGTTGTGCTGTACTGAGTCATCAGGCAGTTTTTTGGAAATTGAGTGGATGAATATGTTGTTGATGGTTTTATATGTGTTTTGAAGTTGGTGTATGTTGGTGGCATGTGTGCTCTAGTTCTCCAACTACATAAAACATAAAAGCCACCAATATCTTCAAAAGAATAAAATTAAGTAGGGAAGTAGAAAACAACATGATTTAATATTTTCAAATGTCATATTCATTCAAACAGGAATTTGGTAACACTTTTTCTGTCTGACAAATTCTGAAGTGAACTGCAGCTTACAAAAGTCGATACCATTTAATAAAATATGTTGCTTGAAAAATGTATTATGAGACTCCTCTTGAGTTTTTGCAAGCATAGACTATCATGGGTCTCCTACAGCGACCAGATTTCATTCATATTTAAGCCATGATGGTTCAGAAATTTATAATACTGTGGAAAAACATAGTAAAAAAGTTTCAGATAATAGATTAAAATATATGAAAGCACAAATATATACTGTAAATATAGTAAGATATTTCAGTTAGCAGAGCTAATGTTAACCCTTAGCAGATTACAGGATAAGTATGTATAAGGCATAAATGAAATGTGAGCTCTGCTTCACCAAATGTTTTTCCAAGCAACTCTATAGGATTTTTTAAAAAGAGGAACGGGGGATTTCTTGACAGAGAAATAAAGATGGGATCTAAAAAGAACAAACTAAAATGAAAGCAATTATAATGTCTTTTGAATTACAATATACAACATGTGTTAGCAGTCAATATGAAAGCATATTTTGCTTAAGTTCTAAAAAACTGTTATCGACTGGATTTTATTTAAAATAGCTAACATTTCTTTAAAGACACATCATTAGTAGGAAGTCATGGACAACACTTTCTGCCAAATTAAGTGCTTAGAGTATCAATTAGAAAGTGGATTTTGGATGAAGAAAAGAGGAAAGGAAAATTGTCAGGATATGTGAGCACCCCCTCATGGATGTTTTATGTATTTAATTATGCATTGTTTTAAGGTCAGCTTTATTAAAGAGGATAATATTTTTATAATAGCAACTGCTTCTAATGAGCAGGATCTGATAAGGGTAACTAAAAAAAAGTCAAATATTACAAAAGAAATATTTATTAAATATATTCAGTCAACGAAAACTACTGTCCTTTTATTTTATTACTGTATTATTATTTCTTGTTATCTTTGCACTAAATTTGGTGCATCCAAATTATAAGGCCAATATGTGTCTCAGTGTCATTAGAAATCAGGAAGTATATACATTTAATATATATTTTATTATGGTTGGGTTGCAGTCAGCCAGATGTTTAGAATGGAGTTGGCATTTTGATCCACCTATCCTTTCCTAGGACTTGGAATAGGCAGGTGTTGTTTGATGGTATTAAAAGGTATCGTTATAAGCTGTACCAAGTAAAACAGCCTTTTGCGGTTGATTGGTAGTGATTTTGTCAATGCCTGCGATGTTCAAGTAGTTCTCCAGACATTTGGAGCATATTACTCCTGGTACTATCTGAGGCGGGGGGGGGGGGTTGCCTCAGTGGTTCTATTTGTCTTCTGTGTTTTTCTCTGGTTTTTTTTCTCTTCTCTTCTGCTGTCTCCAGAAAGTACTAAAGTCCAGATTTTTTTTGTCTTAAGTATTGACAATTGTTATGTCTCAGGTATTATGTGGCAGTTGTTTATCTGTTTGAATTCTAACCCAGAGCACTTTAGCTTATTAATTTTCTATTACTTTGGTCCCATCAGTTATTATTTGCAATAAATCTTGCAGCAGCTAACTAGGTGGTCTATTTGTTCAGTTTCTTTGCAGACACAGTATTTCTTACAGGTTGATATTGTGCAGCCAGAATTAGGTCCTCTTTTTAAAACTTCCTTGCTTTTAACTATTACCAGGTCTTCTTGTTATTTACTATGCCTGTTTTTTTTTAATGTACAGGCCATGTATTACTTTCACTTGCCATATCTCTTTTCTTTCTTTATTTGGTATTTCCTTCAGACACAGTAAACTTTCCTGGTATGCTAGCTTCAGTGTATCTTCTACATTTTCCTTCAGATATCCTTCCAATGCCACTTCCCCCCAGAAGCAGATATACTATGATTTATGACTAAAAGCAATGAAAAATAAACCAATACTCGAATACAGTTCATCAGTCTGGAACCCACATTACGTAT